AGTTTTTAACCAAATGTACTATTATGGATACTTTTGATAAAAAGGAATTAACCATTTTCAGTTTTTATATGAAATACTGTAAGTATTTTTTTCAGTATGTAGTATTTAAGATTTTACTAGATCTATACTCTACCAGTACAAATACATTTATAAATACTTTTACATGGAAAATACTATGGCCTACCTAAAAATGCTAAATAGATAAATATCTGGTGCTTTTGAGAAGTGTTTCATCATCTTTATAATCTTGTAAAGAATTTAGTTTAAAGCGACTGATTCACAACAACTGACTGCAGAAAATTAGTTCTTTAATCCCAATATTTCTCCTGTTCACAGAAGTCTTTCTCATAGAAGTCGTTAAGAATTTGACTTCTGGTACCAAGGCATAAGGACACATGAAAAGCAACACTGCTTCATCACATGATCAGGTAGTTTGTTCCGAGGGACAGACTGCAGAAAATATAATTGTGCAAGTGTGTTTTAATGGTGTTTGCTCAACTCACGAAAGATTAATCTTCAGAAAAAGGAGAGGGTGGGGAATAATGTATCAGGATTACTTGAAGCAAAATACATGAATAATACTAAAATCCAGCAGATTTATATGAAGCAGAGAAAGGAAACCTATGTTCAAGGGACATACTATGCAACACTCTAATTAACAGGCATTTGTGAACAGTTTCATGAAACATGCAATAAAGCAGATGATGCTCTCTTCAGTAAAAGTTTGGTGCAGCATAAACCATCAGTTTGAAACATACTCATCCCATAAAAACTGCAGCTCACAGGTAATGTACTGTTTGCACTGATGTTACTCAATTTCAATATGCAGCATCTAAAATTTTCAGATCAAAATTATAAAACTGTATTTGAAGTACTATTTTCAAACAAAAACACACTTCTGAATTTTTTCTGCAAGTTCCTGTAGCTACAGTCTGTACAAGGAATAGTAATCTCTCTCCAAGTCAGCTTTTTGGCATGTACAGGTTATTTTCAATGCAAACACTTTCACTTAAGGTGGTCTCATGTTTCGACAGGAGAAGTGTTTTCATAGTTCATTACAGAGCAAGCTAAAGCAGAAAACTGTAGTATACTTGCACATACTAGTGGCATGCAGCACAATATCCCACACCAAACTTATAAGTACACCAACACTCAACATTTATTTGCAGTTATGCATCCACACCTAAAGTAACTTTAAGGGAATTTAAAAAAAAAAAGAAAAAGAAAAAGAAAAAAGAAAAAAGTCAGTGTCTGGATGCTTCCAAAAATTTTTAACAAAAATGGAAGCAAACATTTAAGTACTGGATGCCTCTCAGTTACAGGTGTTACACATCCATCAGTTCAGAGATAGGGAGTCAGGGCAGGGGTAGGGGAGGAAGAAAATTTATATCGCTATACTATTCCATGCTATATTTTACAACAAGTAGGTATTTGCTCCAAAATTATCTTTTCAAAAAGTAATACCTATAATATGCCAGACAACTAGGTAATTTTTCCTTCAAGTTCACCTTCCATACTAAAACAGGGTTAGGAGGCTGGAGGGCAGAGAAAGCGAAGCTTTTATGTTTAGAGAATACTAGAGGAAAAAATATGCATTGAAAAATCGGTCACCAATTTATTTGTTGCTTAGGTCAAAAAATATAACTGTAGCACTGAATTTCAGCACCATTTTCAATCATGTCAGGTATAATGACTAAACAGTCATTTTCTTGCAAGTTTTCAGACAGAAAAAAAATCAGTGAAATATTAATCCAGAAACCTGTCGAATTTATTAATAAAGTTTTGCTGAAGTATGGAAGGTGCTCTTCATACCAGAACATGCCTTCTATAAATGCAAAAGAAACAAGCCTCAGAAATTCCAGTTCAGTAAGGCATTTGGGGACTGCTCCCCATTTGGAAGGCAAAGCTGTGGGCCAGAACATAAAACATGCATGCTATTATTAGAATTCTTTTCAGAAATTTGTGAAGTGACAAGGTAATAGAAAGTATACATAATTTCAGTCATGTTATGGTAAAACTGCCATCACAGATCTAGATTTTTGTGCACAGTATAAGTTTATCTTAAAAATGTATTTTTTGTAAATTCAAAGAGTTCATTATTGTTTTACATATGCCAATTACACTTGTTTCAAACACTAGACACATATATACAGTACACGTGTGTAAGGACATGTATATATTAAAATCAGTGTGAATTAAGTCTTTAAGTGTTACTGCATACGTTTGTCATATTCAATACGCAAACAAAACTGGAAGAAAATTAAACAGATGATAAATATAATAAATGTTTTAAAAGTCAAAAAGCAGGAACTTTTACGAATCTAGATATATGATAGATGGTTTCCTGCAAGACTGAGACTTGTAAGATCTTCTGCAAAACAGAGTTGCCTTTGCTTATATAAGCCAAGTACATAGCAATAAAATCAGTTCTGGTGTGTCTCCCCTATGTGTTTTTTTTAAGTCATTACAAAAAAATCTCTAATTCCCTTCACCATGTATGGTTCAGTTTTGGGTACCTGTGTTCTCTAACAACGTCTTTGGTGTGTTGGGTCTGTTAATTATTTCTACAAGCTGGTGCAATACCATTGGAATATAAGGCTGCATCTCTATACCTGAAACAGTCAAAAAAAAACACAACAACTGATTCAGAAGAAAATAACCATTAACATACACAATCTAAATAGGTCTGGTATGTTGAACTTACTAACACGGACAAGAATCTCAAATTAATTTAAATTTTAAAGTTAAAGTATCACTAAAAAAGGCCAAAAAACACCCAGATAAACCATGCTAAGTGTGCAGAGATTAAAAGAAAAAAAAAGTCTTACTCATCTGGATGGAGATTTCTCCAATTGCCCACGTAGCATTGTTACACACAGAAATGAATTCAGGGTTTAGGTTGGTTCCCAAAATGGGCATGAAATCAGCTAGAAAGAACAACATTTTAAAATCTCATCACACAGTACAACCATCTTGTCCCATTACTGTAAGATCTTGGGGGGGAAAAGCAGGTGTGGGGAAGAGAAGTTCATTAAAAAATTATGTAAGCCTATTTAAATACTGGGAAAGTGTTACACATGAATTAACAGGAGCTATATTTCTGCTATATATCAGATTAACCTGGAGTTTGGAAGCTAATCAGATCAATGCAAATCTGTTCAAATTATGATTTTGAAATGTTTCTGACAGGCTTTATCTTTATGTAACTCTAGAAACCTTTCTCCTTCTCTTCCATTGCTGGGATGGGGGAGAGAGAGGAAGAACAAACCAGAGCTAGAAGTACTTGTAGTTTTATACTATACTTCAACAATCCTCAAATCACCTGGATAGCTATATATCTAGCTATGCTTGAAAAAACAATAAAGCCTAGAAGGTAATCACATATTTGATTAAATTTTAAGAAAAAATTAGTCACAAAGACAGATTATAACATCTGCTAAATAAATTTTAAATCTCAAGCCTATCCACACATTCATTTGGCAAGTTAAGCATATCTCAAGGGTATCTGCAGGAAGAGACAAGTATCATGGAAAAGTATAACTGGTGCTAGTTCTCTACTGAAATTAAAAATAAAGCAAAAAACCAAACCAAAACCTAACTACTAGCCAAGTTTCCCAATCTATATGTGTATACACACACACGCACTATTTTATGTAACAATAGGTTCTATTAGAATAAAAAAAGCTATAAATTCAGTAATTTATCAAAGGAAGCAACTATTATAATTCCAGTCCAAGTAAATCTGTTTTGCTGTATTCCAACACAACAGGTAGCTTGTTACGTTATAAAAATCAAGGAACAAAATGAACTTTTGCACTGTCTACAAAAATAAGAACATACCTTTTGAACACAAAATTCAAAGGAGAAAAGACTACAGATCCTTGCTGGTAATGGAAAATGAAAACTTACAACACTATAAAAAGGCAACTCACAGAATAGGGAGCTTAACAATGGCTAAACCAGCTTCTTATCTGTTTGTAAAACAAGTTAAATGTTTAATATGTAGAAGAAACATACCAATGCAAGGCTTAACGTGCTGAAAACATGCCTTTGTCAGATCCCCTAATAATGCAAAAGAACTCTGCCGTACCTCAGGCATTTTATCCTAAAAAGAGGAAGAAAAAAATTACAATTCTAGAAGCGCTTCTGATTCTCTTAAAGAAAATCCTAGAATCGAACAGGTTACTTATCTCACCTGCATGCATTGGTACATTAGTGTTAGGATATTGCTGCGAGCCACTAGCTGTTCAATGTTGCCTCCGAGACCTTCAGCTAAACCACTGAGTAAGTCAAGAGCCACAATCATGAAATCTTTATCTGGAGCCTCATATTGGTCTGGCTGAGCATTATGCAACTGCAACAAATAAGTATGCATTTTCAAAATTAGTATTAGATTTTCCTCGGTGTATGCATTTAAAAAAAAGTTACTGAAATGCATTTATTTAGATATTCAAAGGTTACTACAAATCTCCCTGCAAACCCATAACTTTATACAGTTAAAACACTGATTCAAGGAGATACTCTGAAAACACTGAAATAGTAATAGAAAAGTACCATGGCTTGTGCAAGGGTCTTCTGCACCAGATTTACACAACGCTGGTACACAGGTTCACAGTATGGAAGAAAGCCAGATTGCAAGGCAGTAGCAACTGACGACAGGCACTGGAATTAAAAAAAGAAAAGAAAAGAAAAATACATTTCTTCACATCCCTGAAGTGTCTTTTACTTGGAAGAAGTAAATTAGCAGTTTAACATTAGCATTTTAGGTATACCAACATGTAACTGATTAAGTAAACACAACCTAGAAAGGCAGTAATGAATAGCTGAGCCAAGGCAACCATCAACAAGTTGTTACTCTTTCCTGTGTACGCTCGTTGAGAAAATTTCTTAGCAGCAGCATCTTCTTAGAGGCAGTCAAGATAGTGCATAGAAAAACAATTATGATAGTTCAGCCAGCACTTAACACTCAGCTTCAGGATCTTCACCATGTACAAGCTGTAACATTACCTAATATTTATGAAACTGATTTTTCTAGAAGTGCTTTCCTGCTTAATACTTGGAACGTATAGAATAGACTGCATGGTCTGGTTCATACCTTCACATTGGGCTGACAATAGCTTTAATGGAGGGATGAAGAGAAAGCAAGGAGAAAGACAACAAGAATAAACGGGGGATGGGACATTTCTTCTTTTTTCCTAAAAGAACCCCGTCAAAGAAAACATTCCAAAATGGCAGGGAAAAAACTTGAAAGATTTCTGCTAAACCTAAAGAAATTTCCTCAGTCACAGAATTTTCTTATTGCAATCAGAATACTTTTGAAATAATGGGAAATACCTAACACTGGCAGCACTTACAGTCATACTTCCTAGTAGGAACATCTTTAAGAAACAGCGTAATTCCTAAAATAAGTTCATTAAAAAATACTCAAATTTTAACATTTACCTCTAATAAAGGGAAAAGATCTTTATCTTCATCCTTCAGCATGTTCCACTTCTGGATTAATGGAGGCATTAGCATCTGAATATATTCCTGTTTAGGATGAAAATGCATCAGTTGCTGAAACACTTGACTGCATACCATTTTATTTCAAAGCTAGAAAACTGATGTGTTAAGAACTGACATATATTCTACTTTCTCAGCAAAAGACATGTGACGTAATTCAATCATCACTGCAATATGTAGAAGTAGATTAATATTTAAATTTACAATTTGTATCTCAAGGGGTTTTTTGTTTCTTTGTTTTTCTGAAGCACCTAAGTACCTTTGCAGTGAATCTTTTCCTTTAGGTTTGGTTTCAGTCTGGGTTGTGACAAATCTATATGATTGCAATCTGGCTGTGCAACTTTCACCTACTTTTCTCTATTGGTCTGATACTACAACTCTGAACCCAAGTTCCTGAAACTTCTTCCTAAAGCAACTAACTATCCATAGAGAAAGTAATTTCCTATCCCTCCAGAAGGACACATTTAGCCTTTCTGTATAAAGCTGTTGCGTCTTCTCAGTCACAATCACAAGGATTAAGCAACACATCCCTATAGTGCTGCTGCTCCCAGAAAGTATCTAAAGAGCCAACAGATGCTGCCAGCTAATGCTACGTCCAAAGATACAAAATTCTAAATGGTTGAAGAAAGTCCTACCATTACCAGGAGCTCCCATTTAACTTCCTCCTGGTGTTGCCAAAAGTCAAAATAGCAGGGCCAGAGACAGACTGAAAAAGAAGTCCTTTGATGGTGTGGGGTCTTGGCAAGTAAAATGCCATGGAAACAACTCTTAATTGTTTTATTCTAGTTTGTCTATGTCATGTGAAGCACTGTAAAGAAAAAGCCCCCAAATTCCAATAACCACCATAGGAAGATGCACATGACATATGCATATTCTATTAGTTAATATATGTACACTAAAAAACTCTCGACTGTATTTGCCTGTGTATTATCTGTCCTTTGTCCAAATGATTCTGTTGGGTTTTTTTAAAATGTAAAATGAATGTCTGTCTCACTCTCCAATAAAACAATTTCTAGTGATGATGCACTCCAATACATTGGACAGAGACACACAGAGCAGCTAAGCTATACTCAAAGTGGTTACAATAAAAAAAAACAAGTGTGGTCATTAGCAATTAAAACGTACATTCCACTAATTCCTCTAAAGTCCCATTTCATATCTATATTGATTTTTCATCTCCACTGAAATGAAAAATTCTGAGCACAAGACAAAAAATCATAATAAGCAGCACATTTCACAAGCCACCACATGCACACCTGTTTATTTGAAATGGCGAATATATGTGTAGTAGGAAGATTACACCCAGTCTACGTATTTTACCCATAAATACATAGTATAATTGAAGCCTACACAGAAATATCAGCATTTGTTTTGTAACATGCAAATACACTACAAAAAACACTGAACCAGTTTTTCAATTATGATAAGTGCTTCTACAATACGTAAGGTATACTCACTGGTTTATTTAGATGATGTCCAACAGAATCTGCTAGAGTTCCTATAGCATCATAAAGAATGAGCAGGTTTTTATGCTGGTATTTACTAAATGCAAAGACCAAAGTGTCAAGTATATATGCAAGATAAGGAACAAGCTCTGTACAAGCCTCCTCTTCTAGAGTAGCAAAGGCACTGAGGGACAAAAAGCCAGGTCAGTTAGTATCTTGAAAAAAAACCAAAACAACACGACCTCAAAATGCCCCACATTACCCATTCCCACTTAAAACATAAAACAGTATTTAGTCCTCAAATTTACTGAGGATACATTTTCAAAATGGTATTACTGAGATAACCTTGATCTATTTTGATTGAACTTGTAAGGATTCAGCTCTTACACTGTGATGAATAAAACTACAAAGTGTTGCCATAAATCCCATTATGTATATGCAGGAAGCTCCCATCAATAAAAGCATTATTGTACACAAGTTACAACACGCAAACTGAAACAGTAGGAACCATAACAAAAGCTGTTTACTTAAGTTAAAAACGGCTCACTATCTTTAATGTATGCTATAGCTGCACCTAGAAGAAGCCCAAGTGCTCTTGTGCCAGTACAATGTCAACATCAGCCTGTACTCTAAGTAGTTCACTGCATAGAAAATAGGATACAGAAACACAAGGAAAACTAAAAGCAAAGACAGGACATGAACTATTTTATCCAGCCTTGGTCAAAACACACATCATGGCATCATGGCAACTTTTCAGGTTGTCTGTCAAGTGTTGGAAGTATCATTAATCATTAAGTATTTTTTTTATTTTTTGAAATAAACAGCAGACAAGGGAAAATATCCCTGGAAGTAATAATAATAACCCATATGCTTTGGTAATCCTGAGCTAAACATAAACAACATCAGTAATAAAATGATAGGAGAATTTTCCATTGCAAACAGTACTGACATTGTTCACAGGCATATTAAAAAAACAGACTTCTTGTCAATGAAACATCATATACTGAGAGTAAACAAGTGTCATAAACAGATAATTTCTTTTACTACAATAAATTACTTAATTCAGTGAATCATATGCTCTGAAAACTAACTGGACAAGAGAAATACAAATTAACTTCCTGTTATTACAACTCTGAGTAATTTGTGACTACTCCAGAAGACGCTGCATCTACTCCAATTTAAAAGAAAAAGAAATACATTAAAGCTAGAAATGGAGTCATGCATTGATTGATAAATGCATTAAAACAGTTTCCCATGGAAAGTGTCCAGGAGAGTGCTTTTAGCTCAAGCTTTGGCTTACCTGCAGGCAGCTTCTTGTACTCTCTTGTTGCTATCCAGGATACGCTTTAGCAACTCAGTCATTAATGGCTTCAAGTATATGTCTGGGGGTTGACTAACTACCCAGTGTGCATAGCGACTAAGAGTCCAGCATGTAATGGAGCGCACAAGAGCCTTTTTGTCGGAGAGGCACTGAATAAGGTGAGGGATCAGCTCAGGAAGATATGGAATCATACCCTGCATGCAGCCTAGAGGGAAAAACATAATAATTGCAGTACCAAAACTAACAAAAAGTTCTATTGTTTTCTATTTCTTAGAAGGGTCATATTTTCATAGGAATACATTTTAGCAACATACAAATTGATATTAAGTCCTAAAGAGAAACCTTACATAAACAATAATTAAAATCCCCAATTATACTTACATCCATTTCAACTACATTTCTGCTTCAGTGCTTACTTGACCTCCAGAAATTCTGCTTTATTAAATGACTATAGCAAGTACATGCAAGTAAAATGCGCTTATAAAGCTGGAGGTCCTATGTCAGCCTACTCAGAGTAACCCAGACAACAAGTAGAGAAAGACTGAGTCTTGACAGTAAATTATCACATCATTATAAAGGATTCCTTAAGAAATTTAAATTTGTTTTCTCCTAATGTATACAAGTACTGAGCAGCAATAAAAGCTGTATGTTTCAACTCAGCAAGGGCAGTAATACACCGAGATTTGCCAGAAGTACTAACTTTTACTTGCTTGACTTGAAATCTAAACTAACAGAAAAGTGTTACAGTAACAAAGAAAAAAGCATGTTCACTAGGCACTGTGGTAACCGAAAGACAATCCAGGCAGGGACCCAAAGGTATCCCTTCAGCTTCCAAAAGGGACAGAGATGCTAAAAATGCAGGCAAAAAGTCAAGCAAGCCTGTGAGTAAGTACAAAGAAATGGAAGTCATCATATTTAAGTTGGAGAACTATGCAGAAAAGCAGCTCAAAAAAGTCATGTGAGCTGTCTCTATTTCTAAAAACTTTTAAGTGAAATGTATGGCTCAAATATTCCTCTTCCATAGAATCAAGGTAGTATTTCATGAGAGACCAATAAATATATGCTACAGAGTTAAGTAAAGGAAGAAATAAAAAGAATTTAGGTAAATTATTTATCCTCTCAAGCATGCATAGATTTGAAAATTAAAAATTAAGTAACTGCAGTCACCAATTAATAGATGCAGAGATTAATCACCAAAACCAAACCAGCTAAGGTCATATAGTTGTTTGCATAAGTAAATTCACCTGGAAAGAATCACAGAGCTGCTTCAGAACCAATCAAAAATTCAGCAACCTGATATGAACTGTTGCCTTACCTTCAGCAATTGCTCCAAGAACAAGGATACCAGATTCTTTAACAACCCATTCAGGATGGAAGAGTAATTCCTTCAAAAGGGGCAAGATGTGTGGCAGAAGCTCATCACGGAATACGTTGGCTAGGACATCGAGAGCAGCAGCAGAACATTTTCCTGAGGGGAATTAACAGTGTTAATCTCTACTTATTATATAAGCAGTTGTAGTTAGGCAATATAATTCTCATCTCTTTGAGATGCCAGTGGTGTCTCAGCATTAGGAAGAAAGATACTTCTTTTTCATTACAACACACAGTGATCCACTGTGTTCCAGTGCAAGCCGTAGATCTTAGAAAGCCAGTTTTGCAGCACTTAAAAATAGCCACTAAAATGACTTATACATTGGGAGTAATAAAACATGGATAGGAACCACATCATTACATTGCAACATTACATACACTACATGACTTCAGGAAGGCCTAACACTAAGAGGGAAGGCCTATGACACTAATGTAACATATTAGAGAAACTAAACAGAAAGCAGAAGGCCCTAAAAATATTAGCATTTGATTCAAAAGAAAATGTTCAAATGTGTTTCATATCTCAAACAAAAAACAAAAACAAAACAAACCAACCAAAAAACCCAAACCAACCAAAAATCCCAAACCAAACCAAACAAAAAAAAAAAAAAAGAAAACCATCCAACTCTAGAAATTGAAAGGAATTTGCTGGCCTTTGCTCTGTGCTTTTATACCTTACTCCTATTCTGTGATGCACCAATATAAAGAGGAATACTTCAAAATTTGCTTGAAAGTTTCAATCTTGTGTTTTTAGCAAACTAAAGCTCATAAAAGAAAAACCAGGAAAAACTGCAAAACATGATTTAGAAATCCTTACTCTGTCTTACTGTGATGTTGTTATGTCTACAAAAAATAATGCCAAGAGGGTTTTATAAAGAATGTTTGTATTACATAATTTATACTGCACTTCTTGCTTATTATGCTCTCAGTTCCTTCTAAATCTGTCATAAAGGATCCAACTCATCAGTAAGCAATGCTGCTAATTGTCAGGCTGCACTGATGTTCTCTGTTCAAATTGGAAGTCAAGTAACATTGGAAAAGAAATAGGGCACACAATTCTGATTTTCAGATAATCCAAATTCTCTCAGAATACAGATGACACATATCAATACAGATTTCTTAACTGGTCTGCTTTTTATCTTTCAGCCCACCATTCCTGGACAACTTTGGCTTCCTCATCATCTCAATCACAACTGTGGATGACAGGGCACCCTCTGTCATTTTAGCTATCTTTCTCAGAAAATATTGTACTTCTGCCATCTCTACACACAGCAGGGACAAGAAAAGCATTATGAATCTAAAACTGTATTTTTTTTAAAAAAGGGACTTTAAGGCAACAAATGCAATATTTGCACTTATGTTTTCTCCTAAAATAATAACTATTTTAAAAATTCAGATATGTCTCAAAATTGTTTGACCATAGGCTTCAAGGTACCTTCACCTGTCATTAAAACTCGAAGCCCTGGGAGGAAAAAAAAATTAATGTGAATGTGTCCAAATCTCAAAACGTTATTCCACACATTAGACTGCTTGCAAAATATATTTAAGTCAGATTTTTCAGAATTCCACTAGCTATTTTCTATCACTGACCTTAAAAAAATCAGTTTGTGGAGTTTTCTCTCTTTGACACATGGCCTTTTGGCCTAAAGGTCTTAAGACCCGTACACAGGCCATCAGAACTGTAGCTTCCTCACAGTCATCTTCTCTCTTCATAACTGAGGTACTATATTCTGGTCAGAAGCAAATTCCTCACATAGAAAAGACTTCCTAGTAATGGCCATTTCCATGTTCACATGGAAAAAACCAAACACAAGCAAACAAACAAAAAACCCAAAAAACCACAAAATGAAACACAGAAATCCATTTCAGAGGGAAGACTCAAGTAAAAAAAAAAACATTATTAAGCTTCCTCCAGCTACCAAAGCATAAAGGCTTTTTCTTTTAAACTGAAGTTAAACAGGTGATACATGATTTTTATTATCTTACTAAGTCCAAAAGTTCTGTTGAATTTTATCCAGTAAATATCTGTAGCTTGATCTGCCATATTTGAAACAAGAAATAAGCTTACAGATGGCTAGCTTTTGCCATTACAGTTACACAGTCAAAGTGTCATCTGAAAGATGACAACTCCTCCACACCACCTACCAACTATGACAGCAGAGTCTTCCTGTATTCAAAAGCAAAGCCTCAGTATTATACACAAAAGTCCTCTTTTTACTGTGGTTCTTGTATTATGCAAGTAGCTCTATTTTAAAACATTTTACACATTACTTTGACATACTTAAATTCCAGTCAGAAATAGTATCATCGTCATCAAGTTCATCATCGTCATCATCATCATCTTCAATACCATCTTCTTCATGTTGCTGAGCCACCGTCCGTGAACGATGAAAGCGAGGTCTTATGTCCTGTTCACTATCTGGAATAGCTTCATCTTCTTCAACATCTCCCTGTCATCAAAATGTTTTATCAGATAAACTAGTCCAACTATATTGATCAAGGAAGTTAAGAACATAATTTTAATCCAAGATTTCATAAGCATATAAAAGATTTATCTCCCAATTATGGTGCCCAGCTAAATAAAAACGCCACTCTTCCTGCATTCTGCTGCTTCATGTACCAGAACAACGACAGGAAGATAGAAGCAAGAGAAGTAAGAGCACACAGAAAGTATCTTTCTTGTTAAGAAATTACTCTCAATGGGAATGAATTAGAAAGAAGTGATAGCGAAATTCTGACACAGAGATATATTTTAAAATATAGTGACGGAAAGTACCATTTATTCAAATGTAGAAAGCATTAGAACCAATTCTGAACCAATTCAATTTTTTTTAGACTGCACTGATGCAGTAGTTCATGGGTTATATTATTAGCTCTGCCAAAGTTGGGTGGGAGCAGACAGGGGCAAAGCAGGAAAGTTTGCAGATTATTTTTCCAACAAACATGGCAGCAGTTGCATTTAGATTTTGGAACTGCACACCTTGCCCCAGAAAGGTAATTCTCCACTGAACAGATGGCAGATCTGTCCATTCTGATCTGAATCATTCCGATTTATAGGTCAGAAGCTAACCAGATATTTGTAGATTAAAAGAAATTATTGCTCACCTTCAACAGAATAATGTCGATCTCTGAGTATTTCATACCATTTACCAGCACAGGTATCAGCCTACAAAGAAATATTAATACATGGCAAAATAACATACAGAAAAGCAAGACAGTTTTTGGTTACCTGGGCCATAATTCTGGTTGTAACCCTTACCTCCCCCAACCCAAAATTAAAAAATCCAAAATCTTAGCCTGATAATAAAAGCTAGTGCCTAAACCAAGCTCCATTTTGTTAGGTTCATCAATACTTCGTAATCTGAAAAGTATTAATTTCAAATTACAAACTTTTAACTAGCGGGATGGCACAACTGAATTTTAAATTTTAAAACACAGATATTCTTTCATATGATGAATTTATTCCAAAACAAATTTCAGAAATTAAGTCTAAAGTTTTTCAGTAAGAATTCAAACTCCCACAATATGCATGATAAACAAGTACTAAATTGGCCCACACTTTATTTACTTGTGGTGGAGTACTACTTGACTACTCTTAAAGTTGGAAGACTAACGACATTAAGCTCTCCTATCTTTTTGTGATTACTTCAATAAGACAAGTCCCCAACATTGTACAGATCTTGTCTAATCTGTATTAGGATTTATGTCATTACTAAACTGGTTATAGCTATGGGACTCCAACTGTACAGTTGTATAGCTAAAAAACGTACTAAGGGAAAAAAGTCTAATACTTCAAATAATAACACATTGTAATGTGTTATTATGTTATAAAAATATGTATCACAAGCCAAATCTACTAATGAAATCACCATGGACTGGCCCAGCACCAGTGACAGACTCAATCTCTCTATATTCTGTAGCTGAGGAGCATTGTTTTTGAAGGTAACAGGCCAGCAATAACATTCATGCATTGCAATGGCACATTACCTTCTCAACTTTGAATGAAGGAATAGTAAGCATTCACATTATCATCAATTCATTGGCATTTCTGCAGCATACTTCATGAAGTATGCAGGAGGTATGTATTTTGTAAGAAAGCCTACAGGAGCAAAATGGAGCAAGATATTAGGTACCACATGAACAGTTTTTTTTAGAAGATCTTGTCCCACTTCAAATTTAATATAAAAAATTTTAAGATTGTTGTCAAGTACTGACAAACTTCTACAGCTCCCTAGTCTAACAGGACTCACCAATGAGTAAGTTGCTTTCAACAAACGCAACACTGAAAGATCATGAGATAAATGTAATGTTACTCTTGTTTTTCTAGAAAGTTAAAAGCTTTTTCTTTTAAAAAATAAATTAGTATGATACTATCAAAGGCTCAATGTTCATGTAGGCCAAAAGAGGTTTCATACTAATATACTGTTAGTCTCAGTACCAACATGATGTTTGCTGGCAAAGGGATGGGCAGACTCAGGAATTGTGCTATCCTTCTTTTG